AACAAACTTTGCTACTATTGTTGCAGTAGTGGCGCTGGAGCACAACAGCGTGGTCGTTCTGGTCCTAATCTATCTGTCTGGCTATTACCATTACTGCTTGGAGCAGTGCTGCTGGCTTTATGTATTCTCTGTTGCCTCTACGTCTGTCTTAAAAGACGACATGAGGCCAAACAGAATCGCTCCCGATTACTCGTTGGTATCCCTGGAGGTCGGTAATTAATTGTGAAGGCATAAATGCAAATGATTTAAAATTATTTAAATTTTCAGGTGTATCGTTCCCAATGATCTGTTTATAACCAAAACACCATGATTTGCTCTGCTCTTTACAGAATTTTTTAGGACCTACTGATGCAAAAAGGAATGCTCATCATCTTTGGTGGGGTGCCCGTGATGCAAATCGCAGTGACCGAGTCAATTTTCCAGAGTACGGGTCTATTGTTTTGAATTCTCTCAAATCCTATTTAAGACGAAATTTTAGGGGACACACAAATTCTGCCGCTATCTCTCCATCTGATTCTCAAGAAACATCTTCTACAGCTCAAGCAACTCGCAGTGCATCCTCTGTACCGTCGGCGAAGCCTAGAGGAATATTCAAGAAAAATTCGGGAAGAAATATTGATAGGTATTTTCATATGGAAAATTGTAAAATAGAGAAGAAGATTTATTACAGAGAGGATACTACTGCTTCTATTCGTGATATGTATGGAACTTCTAGAGATGGCAGTGTAAGTGCGACACACTCTTTGCATTTTTATGATCTTCACTGTCTTACTTGTTTCAGAATGCATCGCATTATGCTGCATCAGGATTCTACGGGAGGAAACAATTTGAAGCTGATGCTCCAAGTCGACAACCGAGCTCAAATCGTGCGGACTACATAAGCACTTTGGAAGGAGCAGATAATGGAATGAATTTGAGGTTGTTGCGATAACATTTGTTCTTTGAAAATAAGTTGTGAGTGCATTAATGCTATCGCTCACGTTTCAGTCACAGGTGTTCTAGTCCAATTATCCTCTCGATCGCCTCTCATTCCCTATATTCCAGGTCGAATTTGGAAGAATACGTTCAACGAACACATTCTCAACGAAACAGTCAACGCAGCCAGTATGCGTCTCGTTTGGAATTTAACGAGCCAGACCTATTTAGCGAACGAGGGGTTGACATTGGTGCTGAGGCTAATGTTCAAGTAAAACATTATATATCGCTCAGTTAAGTGAGGCTACTCGGATTATGTCTCTTCAGCAAATGCTTCCAAAGAGCTACTCCGAATGGCGCCACTGCCTCATTGCTGGATCGTCTGTGAACAGGACTGCGAGCTTGAAGGTGACTTCGCTCGAGCAAGAAGCAGGTCGTCCTGAGGACTCTGGAATATCCTCATACAGGTCTATAACAGAAATTTATCATGCAGCTGAAACTGCTGAACAGGGGAAACTGGAGGAGCCTCACAAAGGTAGACTTTTGGTATAAGATAATCTAACGATATTAAAAGTGTCAATTTAGGGCAACTTCTTGTCGAGCATCGAGATATTCCTTCAGTGGAGGTGCTTGAAAAGTGTGTTTTACCTATTCGTGGATTTGGCGCACGAAAACTGACGGAACAGGAGCTTGGTTGGTTTGTTTATAAATATTATCCTATACTAAATGTTTATTCAGTCGTTTATTCTTATGCCGCCTATACCTTACCGAAAATTTAGCTGATAAAGTAGGAAGTTATTCTCTTCAAAGTT